TTTTTTTGATAATTTTTCTTTTCTTTGATATAATTTTTTCCTCTCGCCTTAAAATCATCGCTCTTATCGCTGCGCTTGATATACCTATATAAATATATATTTACATACATATATACTTGTGCGTATATGTGCATATGTGTACGTATGTAAAACTGCTCAAATTTTGAAAATCATTGTACTGAAAAGAATATACAACAAAAATACGTCCAAAACAAAACACATATCCGGCGAACAATATTTGCAAAAGCAATACAAATTCAAATTCTAATTCCATTTAATGTAAATTTTGTGTCCACCAACCGCCTACGCCCCGTAAAAAGTGTTTAGTGTAAAATTATAATAACTGTAACTACGAAAAGTATGTGTACAAGTAGTTCAAAACAGTTATTACATAACTTGGCTTAGTGCGTAACGTTGCTATGTATGTATTGAAACGATATTTATGCATATTTACATGTATAACAGTTTATTTAAACCGGCAGTGTAGTTGTAGTTGTTGCTGTGCGCTGTATTTAGTGTTGCTTTCAGGTTACTATAATATTCCTATAAACTGTATAAAAGAGAATAATTAAATTAATTTAAAAATTTAAATTCTTTTACATTAAGTTTATTTTATATACACCTATACATACTTATATACTTCATTATATAATTGTATTGTAAATGTTTTTTTAGTTTAGTTGACGCTTATTTAAGTAAATAATAATAATAATAAAGTGTGTGATTTATTTAATGCAATATTATGCTATGCTCTGCTGTCACATATCTTGTGTATGTTTACACAATTGTTGTTGCTGTCAATGGCAAACGCTGCTAACATATGACCAAGCAACAGCTAACAAATTGTTTTTGTTGCAGCCGTACCCTCAAGTATTTGTTGACATTTGTCGCGAAAGAGAATTTGTGAGAGAGAGAGAGACGGCAGTTCTCTTTGCAGCAATTAAAACAAAAAATAAAAACATTTTAAAATATATCATTTTTTATCGACAATATTTTAATGTAGCCTATTTATATAAACAAATTTTTCTTGTTTTCTTTTTATTGTAAATTTCTTGTTGCAATTTTGCGCCTTATTGCACTTATTTCCCGTATTTGTAATGCCACAAAGTTAGCCAAGCGCCGTGCAAGCGCTTTAAATTACAACAAATTCCACTAGCATTATGTTTTAAACAGATCGAAAGTGTTTATGCTTAATTAAAGTTAATGAATTTTGCATTAATTTTAAGTAAATTAAAATTTAACTTAATTTAATTGTACATTTACCAATTATTTTACGATTAGCGCTTGTTCTACTTTACAGTAATTCTTATTTTACTAGCTTAAATTAATTATAATTATGTTAATTACCGTTATACGCTGTACATTGAACTCTGTGTAATATTTTATGTAGTTTTCTTAAAAATAAATCAATTTTTAGCATATATATATATATTTAATTTGCCTAAGTTGTGTAGCGTAAATATGTTAGCAGAAAGAATTATGAACAACAGCAATCAAAATGTATAAGCATATAGCGTAAAACCGACGATAATCAAACTTAAAGCAAACTAATTTAATGTGATGTATTTCTTAATTTGCCCCTTTTTGCAAAATAAACAGACAGTAATTAAACAAAATTCCATTTGTTGTTTTTTTATTTCATAAATCAATTGTATTATTTT